TAAAAACTGCACAGTTTTATTGGTGTTAACGTTTTTATAAAGCGGCACTAAACCGAAGCTTGCGTAACATGCATCATCAGGTATGTCACAATGATTGAGGGCAGATATGAGTTCTCCTACGTTGTGTGCTCCATGGTGTAGGAGGCGATAGATTTGACAAAAGACCAGCTTATTCTGTCTGAATGCCCACCGCATGACAATACTGCTGTTTTGGTTTTGATAATTCCCTCATCGAAGTGACGTAAGTCGAAACCTTCATAGTTTTGTGCGTTTTGACTAATGCTATACGGGTGGCTCAGTGTGTACGTCTTGCTATAGAACAGGACACAAGGTTGTCACTGACATTTATCTGGATGAATCTGGACGCCGCCTCCTGGAATAGTTGCATAGGTATAAAAAGTGAGGTTCCTACCCATTTACTCCCTTATATACGGGCAAAACAATAAACACATGAGACCGCATAGTGTCACAAATTCAGTCTTCATTGTAAACATTGCTCCCTTCTTCACCATAAATGCATAATATGATGATACTGTGGGAAGTGTCAGCAGTAATCGTTCGATCGCCTTCTTGTTCATCATCTTGCCCAGTTTTAATGTTGTTGTTCATCAAAATTCATTGGGCACTTTTTCAAATTCCCTATGCATGACTTTCCGTAGGTTCTCTCATCGGTGAGATGTTGTTGGCCAAGGCTATGAGTGAGGTTTGCTATGTGTGGTTCCCCTTTTTCACTGATCAGCCACAAGAACACAAACAACGTTTGTCTATTAAACAGAATAACACAAAACAAAACAGCGTATTACCGCAATACAAGTACAACCTAAAAATAGCGAATGTGCCAGATATTGAGTACCTGAGTCTTTACTTGGTTACGTGCGGCAAAATTCTGCGTCCGGCGAAGCGATTCTTGATCGGTGTGAGTGCGGTTGCAGTAGGCGGCAACCCAGGGGTCGTCGATTCAGAGAAGTGAAAAACAACCCTCTGACTATAATATTCAGATAAGATATGATAATGATCGATACAGCGGCCTACCCGATCAAGCGTGTTTGAGAGTCGCTGTTACCGTCTTATCGGTGGCCAAACTCGCTCCTTATCAGACCTACACTTGTATATCATTGTCCGTAATTCGAAGGAGCTCATTTATTGAGTGTAGCAGCTTGTGTCGTGAAGTGTCGCTAGCGCAGGTTCCAGTGTAAGCAATTGTGTGGATTTAAGTTTCGTGTATGTGTGAGCACAATGTACAATCAAAGTCCAGTAAAACACAAAGTTTATTAACAAATGAACAATTACTACAATACAATGAACCTGCTTGCAGGCAACTCGAGCTGCTATGATCCTAGAGGCAAGGTGCTAAGAAACTCACAAGCCAACGATGTGCAGGAAGAGAGGTGCAGGCGCACCGACACCAACAGCTACTCGGGGAGGCGACCTCTTCGTGAGGTAGAGGCGAAACAATTGAAACCCACCAGGGGCGAGACCCTATGATATGCCAACCATTCTAAAATAAGCACGATGATCGCTATCATCTAACAAAGCGCTAGTATTGGTTTTATCATAGCCAATGTTGAAAACGGAATCGACGGAGTGAACGACGTAGTATGCTCAACGCAGTAGGGCTTGCTTTGAATGAGCTGATTGAAAATCGAGCTCTCCACCGAAGTTGATGGGCGACTTGTGAAAAAAACGCCCATGACTTAATCAGCACTATCGCGGTCACAGGAATAATATGGCAAACGATGGTGCTGAATTGAGTAAAGCCTCCAAAAATAGTTACCTAGGTAACCTTGAAATTCAAAAGTCTCATTCCCGTCGTAGTTGCAAGAAAAAAGTGCCTTCAAGAATAAGTTCAACTCGATTCACATCAGTATTCAAAACAGGAAATGATCTCAATAGCTGCAAATTTAGGTTGGATTATCCCGTCAGAGCAGTGGCGTTCAGCAGCGACAGCCAGTTGATAGCAACCGGAAGTGAAGATCATTCAATAGATATTGCTTATGTTAATGACGGATCCAGGTACATTTTGTATTCATTTGCAAGGAACAGAAGAACGAAAGAAAACGTATAACGTCAATCATAATGGTTAGTCTTACAGACAGCATTGCAATGAAGCAAATAGGCAGTAAATACAACGAATAATATCAAAAACGTGTGAATGAGAGGCATAAATAATAGAGCTCGCCCTCAATAAGAGGAAGCTCAATTAAACTTGTTTGACTAATCTGGTTGCATGTTTAGCAAATTGTTTTTGCTGAAAAGATCAGCAGATTCTACAAGTGTTGACATGTATTGATTTGTTGGCTGCGCTTGAAATTTTTGGCGAACTTCACTGTTTTTGACATGTTTTCTTTTGTTAACAGTGAACCTCCTCCCATTGGACAACGGACACTAAAAGAAAGGTATAAAGTGGATGTTAGCGACGAAAAACGAAGAAAATTGCCGCAAACAGTGGGATTGAGGGTTTTTGCTTTTTGTGATTCTGCTAAACCAAAAAAAAAGTGTGTGGGCGGAAGAAAGGGGGATAGTCAGAGAACACAAGAATGAGAAGTGTTGTGGATCCACAACTTACACATCCCAATGGAGCGTTCATAGTTGGCTTTCGCACGTGCGGATTAGCAGACATTAGGCGATAGAAGATAGAAGAAGGATACGTATCGATTCGCTGTTCCGCCTACTTTCGCCTGATCGTCTTATTCACCTACTTGCCTACAATGCTCTGTGGGCGGAGCAAACCAATCAATACGAATGTATTCTTCCCCGCCTAATCGCCTACTCGCCTGATCGTCTGATCGCCTGATCGCGCGTGTGGTCGCCAACTCGGAACGCTCCATAGATGAACTGTCCCTTCATAGAAATGATTAAGAACATACTAGTTCGTCCTATCCATGTATACCTAGGCACAAACGTAAGATCTCTTGAGCGTGAATACCACAGGCATGAGGCTGAGTGTACTAATAAGTGGGCCAATCAAGGGATGGAAATCTAAGTTACCGCAGCCGAGGGGGGGGGGAGGGCGCAGTCAACTCTTTCACCCCTGAGCATGAGGTGGGCCCCTAAGCGTCCCAGTGGCGATACGGTATCTGAGAACGATATGCTGTATGTATAAACCTCATCAAAGGCACTACCGTAGTCGATTCTTACGTTAACACAATTAACCAACGACATTTCATGTCATTGGTTAAAGTCTTTATTGGCTAACTACTCAAATTGGTGCATCGGCCTCGGGTACAAATCCAAAAATCTACGCTATTTGCGCCAGCTCTCCAGAGAAACATTAATGAGTGCAGTATTATAGTTCTTCTGTGCGAGAGAGCGCAGACACCCCGTGTGCTTCCTGGGTTTACTATATAGGAAATCCAGACGAATTAGGCAGGAGTTTGTCGCTATAACGCTATAACGACGCGTGCGCCGAAGGTGGCGCGCATATCCTGTTGTTTTTTGGGAATGTTCTAGCAAGTACTCCTAAATTATCCGCGCTACTATATTACTTCTCCAGCAAGTGGACCATATCACTATACTTTCTTCCCAGGATCTTCTGAGACCAGACACGGGGTATTTTTTTCTGACAAAACCTACAATAAATTTTACATACACTTTTTCTTAATTTTCATAAGCTTACTTACTATTTGATGGGTGGCTTACCCATGGTTCACACGTCCCGAGACCCCTTCCCCTAAATATAGCCACATCCTTGCTCGGGGTTGTTGTTTTTCATTTTTCGATAATGTCACCTACAGCTTCCATTCATTCTTTGCACCCTAGTTTTAGAGCGGAAAGGCGGGTTACGAACTTGTCGTCAACGGAAATCTCTTCTTTTGGATGATGAGACACGGACACCTACTTTAGCCCCGTCTTAACCCTGCTGTTCGCATAAGCCTACATAAACCCTACCCTGGGTGGCGGCGTGCGCCACATGGTGGCGCACGCGAATAATACACTGGCCGTCCGTTAGGTTAAGGGTTAACGATTCTCAAAGGAGATGAACTCGCCAATCCTTTGTTGCCGAATTTTCGCTTCACGACGACGAACCTCTGCTCCTATTGATAGGCCAAATAAGTGTGTTCATATGACTTTCCCTCCACGACAGAGATAGAGCCTATAGAGTGTCCAGTTCATTTTTTACATCACTTTTTTCATTTTGGTGGTGCGAAAGGTTCGCAGAGAGGGGAAAGAGTTTGTTCGAGATCGACAATCTGCGCCTGGGATATTCGAAACTCATCCCTTTTTCATTTAAGTTGATTCTCTTCTTTTGCTTTAAACTGCAGCAACTTACCGAGTGCGAGCGCTTCTTATGTTACGCAAATAACTACCGCCTAAAGAAAGCGTGCCAAAATCCCTTGTCAATTTAGTTTGAGCACTGGCGCACCATGATGTTTACCAGTATTTTTGAGAACTGAGAAAGTTCAATAGAAAATCGTAAATCACCACATAATTTAGAAGAAAGAAGATCCAATGGAGAGACTTAGAAAAAGTGGATATGACCACGCATTACACTGTCCTCATAAATTTGGGTATCTAACAGGGGATCTCAAAGGCGTGTTCTCTTGCAATCATGGCAGGATGAGCGAGATCATTCTGTTGTAGTGTCAGCTTCGAGTGCTCATAATTGAAAATGACCATTGAGTTCTGTTGTTCTATGAAAATAAGTATCACAAACTTCCGGATTGGTTGGTTCTCTTTGCAATCATGGCGTATACGGAAAATTGGCAGAATACATGACATCCGATGAGGAGAAGTTTAGACTCATTGGGAATGGCATCCACAGCAACTGATGCTCGCATTCGCATCGTCGGGAGATCCGCGGGAACGCGACAGCTTTGGTGTACGATTGTTCGGCTACACTAGTTGAACAGAAGTGACACAGTGTACTTTTGTGTTTATATCAAGTAATAAACAATTTTCCATGTTGTTTGGCACAAGATGGAAGGGAACAAAAGAATGAGAGCTAAAAGAGAAATGATCGAGGAGATTAGCAAGACTTGTTGGCTAGACTACTCCAGATGATTCTTTCGGTAGTTGGAACATTTTAAATGCAACCTGCGTTACAGGCTTCGTCGTCGTTGACATGATCAGCTGAGTGATGTTTGTAGAATTGAGTCATCACGAAATCCCTCTGTATTGCCCGAAGCGTGGCTTAAACTCAGATCAAAGATCTATCTTTTTCTCTGTTCATGTTCTACACGTCACACTCCAGTAGATAATAGAGTTCTTCGATCATTAGAAACCTCCTTGAAGCGACAACCCCAGCAGATTAGATCGTGTGGAACAACCTACTCTGTGGGTAGTGAAGAGCGGGATCAACCGTGCGTTGTTCCAATTCCAAAAATTTTATGACTCTCCTCTGACAGGTTTCTCGATTCGACCCCCCCCTCCCGGGCCATAATGCCCCAACACCACCTTCATCATCATGAGGCTTATTTATAGTGTTGATTATGGAGACCAGTGACAAACAAAAACTTGCAGCGTCTTCTCTCTCCAAAGCTAGCTGTCGAGCGTGGAAGAGAGGTAGTTTTGTCTGGAAGAGGGTTCCGGAGAGGGGGGAGGTGTAAATGAATGTCTAATGAAAGACAATGTGAGAAATCCTCAAATTTTCACAACTTCATGTACTTTTTGAAATTTCCTCAAATTTTCTGGAAATCCGTCTAAAACGATCTCTACCGCCACCACATCACCCCAATAACTTCCGAAAAAAGGTTCGCTTTTCAACCTGACCTTCATCAACCCCAAATACGACCCTCCACCTCCCGACTCCTCCTCACGTACAACCTTTCCTCGTTGACAACTGTGAAACGCCTGTTTGACCCTGGTGAGGAGTTGCTTCCGAGTACTATAAAAGTGCCGCTGTTTTGCCTAATAACCGCGCGACAAAGCGCTGCGACTGCTTGTGCGGTTAGCGACAGTCAAGTGAGCGAATAGCAAGCAAAGCATGAGACATCCGAAGAACCCGGCCGGACCCCTCCTCTCTTCATCCTGAGGCGTAAGGGGGAAGGGTCTTCAGTAGGGACCTTTATAGGCGGTTCCCCTTTCTATTTTCGTTTTCACTCAACTCGCCTCTCCCACCGAATTGATCCGAGGTTGTCACTTGTGCAGAATCCTTAGTTGAGCGGTCTCCAACAATACAAAGGACGATGCCCGGTTTCAAAATTTGTTACGACTTCTCCTTGGAGATGGTCCCCCCCCCCATATCACCCCTTGAAAGGGTCAGTGCTGTCGACAGTGTCTTTCGGTATTCAACCTGCTGTCATTGACTCACTTGCAAGTCCGCACCAAAATTCCCTAGAAGTTGGTATAGAAAGGGTGGAGACAGCCAACTCCTGGAGCAGGAAATCCTGCACATCTCGATTCATCCCAGCATAATTCTTTCACCACTACAGCCCCTTTTTTAACCCTGTATATAACTCCACGGTTTAAAACCACAAATATGGCCCCTTCGTCGGAAAATCAAACGTATGGGTGGGTCGCCTTGTCGTAGATTTCTGCCAACATATATTTCCTTTCATGTTTGATACTAGAGAAAAAAAATGCTGTCATGGTGACCAGTTATGGTAGTCGTTAACCGGAGTGATTAAGGTTGACAGGCGACTAGTGAAAGGGCGAAGGGTGTCGGAACGAAATTTATTTGAAAAGAGCATTTTCTCATAGTATTGGGCTTCTGTCATCAACGTCTTTTTTAAAGCTGCTGTTAACATTTGCTTTGAAGATTCACCGGATACGCAGAAACAAAGGGATAAGTGTTGCCGAACTTCCGTGCTAGCTTCATTTATCTACGAGAAACCGCTATCGTTGCTGATTCGGTGGACACCTCTTAAAACGGGAATATCGTCTTGAAACACATAGCCCGCATAGCGATATCCTTTGGCGGGCGCTTTGTCGTGCTAGCCGAAATTGTCTTGCTTAGAATCAGATCTTCCTGTCTTCCAGTCAGTCTTCCTTTCACAGCTCTGGTTCTCTAGGTTTTTATAGCGAATCCTCTTAGAAAGACGAGTGTAACTATTATTGAATTCTCACCAACTTCTTTAGGCTTTAAGCGCCGCATTGAATACTGTGTCAAATTCAGAATTTAACATTTTAGTTCACAAACTTCATGACATATGCTTCTGAGTGGAGTAGCCCTGGTTGTGAAGGAGATCTGGCGCGCAGTAGGACAAGATTGAGAGTACTGTTTCGCGATGAAAAGAGGATACCGCACGTAGAGATGTTGGCGGTTCAACTTCAATAATGAAATTGTCAAATTTCAAACCCTTCAGTATATTTTTTGGCTTAGTGGTAAAACTGGATCTTTTCTAACTAACCCACCTGTAAGGAATATACTTTTTCATAATTCTTCCTTGTGAGCGACCGGTGATGCAGAGGGAAGAACAAAAAAGACAATGCGGTAGCACATTGTCCTGAAATCGAACTTCCAAAAATCCATTCGACTCTCCATCCCTCTGCTCGACGTAAGTGTTGGTAGAAAGATTGGAACATACAGAACAATGACAGTGTCATAGGTACTTTTCTAGCATAAGCCACCTCCACAATTGAAGGCCTCCACTAACCGGCGATAGTCGAATATGCAGTCTGTCTCAACACTCACGTCGAGCAGAGTCTCAAAGAAATTGATAAGGGCTAGCTACGTAATACCTCACTGTGTCTATATTTGAAAACCGAGAAAATGCTTAGAGTTGTGGTCTCCATTCATGTCACCATATGGTAGCTAATGGAGGGAGCTTCTCAGGCTCCCTCCATTTACTTAGGTCCCCATGTCAGTAATATTAATTCCATTTCTCATGTCATCGGGACCTCAGAGTTGCGATCGGAACCAAAGGAGTAGGAAGTAATGTTCGGTTGTATAATATTAGGTTGTCTCATAAATAGTGTCGCTTTTTTTCAACCAAAAAATTTTCATCTAAATCCCCATGCTTTTACATCATTTCATATACCATTCGAAAGAGAATTGTCTGCTCTACAAGATGCTATGTTCTTCTTCCATCTATGTTCCAGGGTTTTCAAATTTTAGGCCTGCGAAATGGGAGGTCCAGCCGACAAAAATTGACCAAACCGACAACTAGCTCTAACTTTATTTCCCTTGGAGAAATCAATCAATGATGTACTCTACTTACCATGATCTCTTCTAGGTCGTCGAAAAAGCTTTGCCATATTTCTATTTGAATTTGGTTGTTCTGGCCAGTCGATGAACCACAGCGGTTTTAAACTGAAATTCTTTCTCTGAAACGCGATTGTTTTATATCAAGTAGCGTATCTTTTGTACGCGACTTATTAGCAAGCCTATAGCGGAATGTTCAGAAGAGGTCATGACTAAGTAGATGGTCACATCATTGACTGATTTCTCCCAGGGAACATAAAGTTAGAGCTAGTTGTCGGTTTGGTCAATTTTTGTCGGCTGGACCTCCCATTTCGCAGGCCTAAAATTTGAAAACCCTGGAACAAGATGGAAGTAACATTTTTTGTAGAGCAGACAATTCTCTTTCGAATGGTATATGACTAATGTAAAAGCATGGGGATTTAGATGAAAATTTTTTGTTTGAAAAAAAGCGACACTACTTTATGGAGACAACCTAATAATTTGAAGTATCGGTTCAGGTACAAATCGAGTAATCTCATTCAGTCAATCAATTTCGCTTAAATTCGCTTCAGTTTTCATCCCTGAGCATAAAACCACTCCTGTACAATCGCTGACCGTGCCTTTAAGTGCACATTCCGCGACTGCCTTGCTGTGGGCTATTGCTAGCAAACGAGAAGGCAGCCAGGTTGGCCCATATGGACAGAGTGATTGAAAATGCTATCAAATGAAGATGGTTGATAAGCAATGATGAGAACAGAACAGAGTGTCCATGAGCCAAAATCTCACTGCACGCTGGGCTC